GAGATAGACAAGGAGATCAGCATGGACAGAGATACACACAGAGATACACACAGAGGTAGAGAAGAGACGATACAGATGGAGGCGGAGATGGAGACCGAGATAGAAACAGAGACTAGAAATGACAGAGATGGGGAGAAGCAGAGGCTGAGATGCAGATGGCGGTGGAGATGGAGTTAGAGACAGAGACAGAGGTAGCCACGGGGTGATGGAGACAGCAGAGACGGAGGGAGGGTGGACATGGAGAAGGAGGTGGAGGCAGACAGTGAGAGAGACAGGGATGGAAGCAAGGGCTGCTCCTGTGCGTGTGCATTTGAAACTCAATGTTTGTGGCTTACTTTCCTTTTTAATTCTCTGGAATTAGGTTTTCCGTCTACATCTGGCTGTCTTTTCCTTCCTATGATGTTGTCTTTGAATAGTAATTTCCAGTGGATTGTTATTCGTTTCTTACTACAGTGTTAGCTTTGCATCGCTATGAAGGAGCAGGTGTAGGCACTGATAGATACTCACCTTCTGGACCTAACGTGTCGGATACAGATGTACGTAAATAGACAGATGATCTGCACCCTAGTAAGGCGGAGATGAACGCCATATGTCTTCTTTTTTCTTTATTTTATGTGAGTGTAGTTAATTTAGTTTATTTTTATGACACTGGGATGGAACCGGGGATAGTATGCACCCCATGTCCTGTTATTTATTTCTTTTCTACATTTTTTGGTTTAATTTTATTTGTCCTCTTTTCAAATATTTTACTTATTTGTCTTGATGGGGCTTGTATGGATTGTAAGCCACATCCAGATGGTATTGGCAGTATATACAAATATCAAATAAAAATTGCTTATGTTTCCTTTTTCGATTTTTCAGTTATAAGGGACATAACTAACTTAATTAAAACACTCCTAATATATGTAGTGCTGACATCATTCCATTTCCCGCCATAATATTGAGTTCAAGTGATTGTTTTAATTCCCAAATAATTTTATGTATTTTTGGGGTACAAGGCGATGTTTCGGTGTATTTATACATTATGGATCTACTCTAACATATCTGTCATCTCACGTACTTAGTTTTTATGCTGACATTTAAGATCAACCTCTTAGTGATTTTGCAGTATAATATTAACTATAATGACAGGGCTATGCAGTGCATAAGGCAAACTTATACAGGACCTGTCTAATCAGAACTTTTATCTTTTCACCAACATACTCTTTCCCCTCCTTCCTCCCACACTCAGCCTGGTGAAACCTCCACTTGTTGTGTTCTTTTCTTCTATGAGTTTCTCAGTTTTAGATTCCACATATAAGTGAGATTGTGCAGTGTTTTGTTTATCTGAGTCTGGGTTATTTCACTTCCATAATAGCCTGCAAAATCATCTACTTTGTCACAAATGACAGAATTTCAATAATACTGAATAGTATTCCAGTCTGTGAATATTTCACATTGTATTTATTCAGTCACCCATTGATGGGTGTGTGGGCTGATTCCATTCATGTCTTGGCTCTTCTGAATAGTGCTACAATGAACACAAGAGTGTAAATGTCTCTTCAACATACTGATTTCCATGCCTTTGAATTCTGAGAATTCTGAGAATTCTGATTTCTTGAGAATTCTGTGTAATAGCGTAGTCTTGTTCTCAATGTTTTGAGGAGTTTCCAAAGGGTTTTCTATGGTGTTGGTACTAATATTTATGCCCACTCACAGTGTGCCAGGATTCCCTTTCTACACAGTGTTTGGATAACAGTGTGAGACAATACGGTGGTACCTTGGTTCACAAACATAATTTGTTCCACGACTTTGGAAAATATGGCTACATTTGTATTTGTACAGGAAAGATGCCCACAGACATGTCTGTCACCCAAAGTAGTTTGTAAACCAAAACAAAATTTTGCCAAATGCTTTTGTTTGCAAATCAAATGGTTTGCAGACAAAAGCATTTGTGAACTGGGGTATCACTGCATCTCATTGTGCTTTTAATTTGCATTTCTTGGATTCTAGAAACTCTTATTTTTTCCCTGATTTCCATAAGCTATCAATTATTCAATAACATTGTTTAATCTCCAAGTGTTTGTGTAGTTTCTGTGGCTTCTTTTGCAGTTGATTTCCAGCTTAGTTCCATTGTGATCTGATAGTATGGAATGGATTATTTCAATTCTTTTGTATTTAAGCATGCTTTATGGCCTAACATATGGTCTATTTTGGAAAAAGTTATGTGTGCTGTTGAGAAAAGTGTGTATTTTCTTCTTGTTGGATGAAACTCTGTAGATATCTGTTAAGTCCAATTATTAAATGGTGTGCTTACATTCTGATATTTCCTTGTTGATATTTTTGTCTGGTTCACCTGTCTAATTATGTGAATAGGGTATTGAAGTCTCCTACTCTGATTGTATTGGCATCTATCTATCGTTTTAAGTCCAGTAGTTTTTCTTCTATGAAGTCGGTTGTGCCAACATTCAGTACATTAGTATTTAAAATTATTGTTTCTTTCTGTTGCATGGTTCCCTTTACTAGAATTTAGTGGACATTTTTCTACTTCTGATCATTGGGCTTGAAGTCTGCTGTGTCTAAAAATAAGATATTTACACCTGCTTGTTCTCAGGCTCCAGGTGAATGTGTGCTGTTTCCCACCCTTTCACTTTCAGTCTATGTACTTCCTTTGGATGAGGTGTTTCTCCTGTAGGCAATATATGGTTATGCTTTGCTTTGTTTTGGTTTTGATGCAATGTTCCAGTCTGTGTCTTTTGATTGAGACCATTGACTTTGAGAGCTGTTATTATACGGTGGTTATTGAATCCTGTCATTGCATCATTTTCCCAGTGGTGGTTCCTTTATTTTTCCTTTCCTTTAACTCTCTTAGTTTAATGTATTCCTTCCTTTGGGATCTTTGGTGCTGGGGGCCTCCCTGTCTCTGTCTGGGATTTCCTTCAGTTTTTTCTGCAAAGCTGGTTTAGTGGTCATGTATTTCTTTATCATGAAAAGTATTTACTTCTCTGTCAATTTTAAAGGCTAATTTTACAGAATATAAAAGTCTGGATTGACAATTGTGGGATTTTTTAGGCCTAAAAACTTCACTCAAAGCTATACTGGCCTTTAAGTTTCATGGTGAGAAATTTGTAGTTATTCTGCCAAATTTGCATTTATAGATTACTTGCTATTTTTCCTCTACTAGTTTTTAATAGTCTCTTTTTTTAATTTCTGGAATTTTAATTATGCTGTATCATGGAGAATTTCTTTTCTGGTCATGACTACTTGTAGTTTTATATGCTCTTGTACATGTATATTGAATTATTTCCTTAGATCTGAAAAGTTTTCTGCTTTGATTTCAGTGAATAACTTTTTAAAATCTTCTAAGTAATCTTATACTTTTTCCTTTATTTCTATAATTTTGAGGTGTGTTTTTTCGAGGGGGATTTTGTTTTGATTTTGAGTCATTTAGCAGCTGTTAGGACCAGTTTACATGTTGTGATATTTTGTTTCATGTATATTGTAGGAAGTGATCACCTCAGGGTAATTAGCCTATGCAG